TCAGGGTTCAAACCCATAGCGCTACATGTGTATGTTCCAAAATCATTTCCTCTTGGCGTAATGGGTAAAATGGTGTTTCCTGTTTTCTGCTCAGTTCCATTAGGCCATTTCCAGGTAACTTCTGGCGGTGGGAATCCACGTACAGGGCAGCAAATTGTGGTAGACACACCCTTTCTTGCACTCTGATTTGTACTGGGGCATGCGTCAAAACTTTTAGTGAAAACTTAACATACAAAAAAAGAGAAATAAAAACAATTATATCCAGTTAAAATATTATATATTATTTAGGTTGCTTTAAAAGCATGCAAATTTTTTTATACATGTGCAACAACGTAATCAGGAATAAGCTGCCACAATCTTGTAACAAGTCACAAGAATCAAGTAAGAAACAGTACGTGTACCGAGTATTATGTCCAAATAATCCAGCAACAAGGTGTAATATGGTACCCAAAGGGGGTGAGTGTATGTGTAGACATGATGCAACAAGCCATAATGAAAGGAGTCTTTGGGCTATCCCATCAATGTATTTTCCTGCCATGCAACTGAAGTGCTCAGATTGTGCCTGTCACCTTGCAAACATAGTTCTGCAAGTTTAGCAGTCTCATTGTAAGTAATAAATTATCAATGTATTTTACCTAATGCAAGACAAAAACAGTGTTAAAATACTAGGTAATTGTAAATGCGTTATGTTAGTAGTGTTTCTGCATTTTACATGAATAAAAAACAAAATATTTAGCAATTATTCGCCAAAGGCGAAGTGAACATGGGTGAATATTCACCGAGACGAACTCGAGGTGAATATTCACCAATGTTCACTGAGCCTGAGGCAAATAATTGTTTTATAATTTTCAGAGGTTTATATCAAAGACTACAAAATAACGGACTAACACATAAAAACACGGACGCAATTGTTCGTGTGCATACACGTATGCAGCCGTAGTTTTAATAATAAGCTTACATGTACATCGATTGTCAATCAATCATACTCACCGAGTTAGGTAGTAAANACAAGATATTCGAAAATAGTAAACAGCATTTTTCCTCTCATGGAAACTACTTGTCTATGTTTTAAAATGGCTTAGACAGGAAAGATGCGAGTTTTGACATAGTACCACTTTGGCAATTTACAATTTCAAAGTTTCTTAGGTGTGTGGGAGGGGAGGGGGTGCATGCTCCTGGATCCCCTATAGGGTTCAGTCCTTCAGGCCACACTCTCCACCTGCTATTCGTTTTTGGCCACCTGAGAAAAGTTCTCTGTAAACCCTGCCTGCTTATGCTTCACTTGCTCCAGACACAATAAATTTAGGGACCTTGGTTTCTGTGGGTTCACTAAAGAATATCTGCTAAACACTGTGTCCCCTTAATACAGGTTTACAGTACTGTACTTAACAAAAAAAATATATATTGAAATTGCTTTCATTACTCTTCTTTTGCACCTGCAATAACTACAAACACCTATCTAAGGACGAGAGCACAAAACTTACACTCTGCTCCCAGGAATCCTCTGGCTGAAGATGGTTGATTGACAATGGCTGAAGTGTCACACACATAGTAACCATGGTCACTGATGGAGATGTCTTTTACAGTAAGCTGAGAGGTTCCAGAACCAGATGAAATGATTTCATATTTATTATCATTGATGATTTGCAACTCATCTTGTTCAGTTTTCCTTTTCCATGTGATATTTTGACCTGGAACACTAGTTGC